GTCCCCTCCTCCGAGTGGCGTGGACCGTCCAGCAGCCCGGGCGGATGCCGGCTGGGCGGGGTTCATTTGTATGTCGTTAGCATGTCATTTGCATAGACCATATGCTCACTCTTCAGGACCCCGGGAGAGGGAGGGAGAAGGGGTGATGAAGAGACTCCATCTCCCAGCGGGAAGGGGAAGGGAAGCCATGATGGGGGACCCCTTCTCTGAGGGCTTTAGCTGCCCAGGGGTCCTTCCGCTGCCAGGCCCCTTTGTCCTCGCCTTCCCCCCCACCCCCCCACTAGCCAGCCCTCGATATGCATTGTTAAACGTGTGACTGCTACTAAGTTACAGTAAGTAAGACAGTGTAGTACCGGCATCAGGACGGGCACAGTGGGACCGATGGGATAGAGTTGATTTTCCACACCAGTGCTGAGGTCCAATGTGGGGAGAGGAATCTTTTCAGCAGATGGTTCCAGAACAATCGGGTATCCTCGTGGGAAAGAATGAGGCTTCGACACCGCACCATGTGAAGAAAAACATAAAAAGACTCATAGATGGAGATGGGAGGCCTCAAGCTATAAAGCTCTTAGAAGAAAACATGGGAGCAAATCTTCATAACCGTAAATGATGGATTCCTAGACGTGACGCCACAAGCACAAGTGACCAAGGAACAAACACAGAAATTGGACGTCATCACGAGACCAAAGGACACCACCAGGGAAGCGTAACTCTCAGGACGGGAGCAACGATTTGTATCTGATAAGGGGCTTGTCCCGGGAACGCTTCCAGCTCAGCAATGAAAAGACAAGCCCAGTAAAAGGTGGGCCAAGGATCTGAGTAGCTATTTCTCCAAAGCAGATGTGCAATTGGCAACAAGCACATGAGAAGATGCTGCACACCCTTATTCATCGGGGAAATGCAAATCAAACGCACGAGGAGATACCATTTGCCACCAGGAAGATGGCCTCACGTCTGGGTGTGTCACAGAGGCGATGCTTGTGTCGAGTTGGAAGGCGCGTCTCAGACATGTCATCGCCGTGCCTGTGGGGTTTTGTGTGTTTTTTTTTTGCCAACTGTCTCAGTGCCGGGGCTGCTCTGACACGGTAGGGTATTCAGTTTAACTTGAAGGTGTCTGGATATAAACATTGGGAGTGTTGTGGGCAGTTAGCCAGCTCTGAGCAGAGCAAGGACGATGGAGCAGGAACAGAAGGTCACCAGGGAGGAAAGCCGGGTGCCTAGCCAGGGGCAAACCTGGGAAAGCAAGGACCTCGCCCCCAGTGTGACCTTTCTGCCCTAGCATCTCGCTGGTCATGTGGTTCAGACTCCCTGACTTTTCCTCCCTAAAGATAACCTCTAGGCCTCAGTGGTATTTCAGTTCCAGGCCCAGAAGAGCAGCAGAACCAGACCGGTGACCCTGTGGC